AGCGTCGTCTGCGCGGGGGAAACGTACGATCAACCGCTCTCCCGAGACCCCTCATCGAAACTCGACTACCTCGCTCTTTTCCACTCCGGCATTGTCTACCTCTTTCGTCGCCTTCTCCTCTGACGACGGCCCGTCAGTCAAGAGAGCTCGTAAGAGTTCGAGTAGGACTCACACGTAAGTCCCCCCCCACTCCCACCACCTGTGGACGATTTCTTATTCCTTGGCCGATTTAGTGAGTCGCTTCTCTACCAACAAGTTGCCTGACCCGGCACTTCGCGACTTGCTCTGAGTCCTTATCAGGCCCTCACCTTATCAGACGCAGTTCATAAAAGCTTGTCACTATCCTTATTTGTGGGGGTTATGACACACAATTGTGCGATCTCTCGCCAACTGGGATAGGGGCATCTGGGCGACTTTGAAATGCAGTGAATGAAGCGTCTTATTTGGTAGGTTTGACATCGCATGATGCACCGCATCGTTGATTTATGACAGTTTGACCGTCGCGAACCCTGACATCCATCTCTACCCCCACAAGATGGGTGTTTTGTCAACTTGCTATTGAGTGAATCAGGCCTGCGCTAGGTCTACTGCACTCTCGCCTCCCTCACCCACTTTGCTTCCACGACGGAGCAATGTCAAGACGATCTAGTTACTAGAACTCATTCGTTAGCAGATCACGTCGTCTGTAGATTTTACACTCGAAGAAAGGGTATATGAAGGTTTTGGAAAATTTGTCTAGCTGCCGAATAATTTTGAGCAGCCAGATCAGCCGTTTAGCGATTTCAGTCTACAGGGTGTTTACTTTCCGCGTAAGGAAAATCATATATTCCTCTATCCCTCTGAGAAGATACCATGTACAGCCCATAGAATTTAGCAATGGATGCGGACCATGCTGCGTACTTAATCAGGAGCATTAATAAACGGACGCGTAGGATACTGCGTGAACGGACGCTTCACGGTCTGAAAAAATCCCACAATTAGAAACGTTTCAAACCGAAAGGTACTCATTCTTCGGGCATAAAGTGCGAGACGATGTGCATGTTTTTTATAAAATTTACAGTGTGTGACCGATCTCATGAAATGTTGGCTAAAATTCTGAAATGCGTTTTCGATTAGGAAGGATTACTTGGTTGCGGCTGTGATACTGATTATCTTAAGGCATACTCTTATAACATTTCGGACTCGGCAAGCTGTCGGCTTTTAAATGCCCTTGTTTTCAATCTCCTGTAGAAAGCGTACTCGGTAAAAAATGACTACTTAAGTAGCATGCATTTTTCCCATTGATTTTCGATGGTCTTGGAAATTCAAATATTTTATAGAAACCACAAACGAAAATATGCTTCCTTTTAATCAATCGATAGAGAATCACGTCTTCTTGATATTTTATACTTAAGGAAGGAGTAAAATCAGGTTTTAAAAAAGTTTTCTAATTGCCGATTAATTTGGAGCCTGATCGTTCGTTGCATCAGCGTTTAGTGGGTTCAATCTAAAAGGTGCATACTTTCCGCATAAAGAAAATCACATATTTTTCTATGTCATTAAAGAGATATCATACAGAGTCCATAAAATTTTGCAACGGATGCGGACCATGTAGTACATTTCGTGAGGATCAGTGGTAAACGTCCACGTACGATGCTATGTGAATGGACATTTCGCGGTCTTAAAAGTCTCATAATTGGAAACTTTTTTAAAACCTGATTACACTTCTTCCTTAAGTATAAAATATAAAGAAGACGTGAGTCTCTATTGATTGACTAAAAGAAAGCATATTTTTGTTCGTGGTTTCTATAAAATATATTTGAATTTTCAAGACCATCGAAAATCAATGGAAAAAATGCATGCTACTTAAGTAGTCATTTTTTTACCGAGTACGCTTTCTACAGGAGATTGAAAACAAGGGCATTTAAAAGCCGACAACCTGCCGAGTCCGAAGTGTTATAAGAGTATGCCACAAGATAATCACTATTGCAACCGCGACCAAGTAATCCTTCCTAATCGAAAACGCATTTCAGAATTTCAGCCAACATTTCATGAGATCGGTCACTCACTGTATTTGAATTTTATGGGGTACCGAAGGCCAGTGTTTAGAATGCACACTACTTAAGTAGTCATTTTTTTACCGAGTGTGGTTTATAAATGAGGTCGCAAAGAAGTGCATTCACAAGCCAACATTCTGGCGAGTCCGAAATGCTATGGGATTATACCGCATAAAAATTAATATTACAACCCCACCTAAGTAGCTTTTTCCTAATTGAAAGTGTATGTCAGACTTTCGGCTAACACTTCATGAGATCGGTCACTGACTGCAGTTACCACCACACACGTGCCAGGCTTTGTTTAAGGCGGAGGTCTCTCGGATGTCGGGTTGGTGGTGGTAACTCGGCCGAATTATCACGACAGTTGGCAACCTTCCAAATCAGGAGTTTCAGCGCGTCCCTATATGGACTCAAGCATGTCAGCTTTACTGTAGTGAGGCGTGCGCTGATTTGCCGTGAGAACGGATCTCCCAGCAGCAGCAGCAGCAGCAGCAGCAGCAGCAGCAGCAGCAGCAGCAGCAGCAGCAGCAGCAGCAGCAGCAGCAGCAGCAGCAGCAGCAGCAGCAGCAGCAGCAGCAGCAGCAGCAGCAGCAGCAGCAGCAGCAGCAGCAGCAGCAGCAGCAGCAGCGGCAGCAGCAGCAGCAGCAGCAGCAGCGGCAGCAGCAGCAGCAGCAACAACAGCAGCAGCCTCCTAACCCCCACTCTTCCCTCTGCCGCGCCCCTTCGGGTCAAGTCGGTTGGGAATGAGAATAGGGCGTAGTGGCTAAGGACAAAATAGTCTGTCTTTGATTAGCACACAGAACCTGGTCGCTGCCACACATGCAGCAGGTCACACCAAAGGACGCTGTTCTCACGTAAGTGAGTTGTGCACATTCTCACATTCGACATTTCACCCGTCACGCTGGCTCTGACACGTTTAATCATATGGGTTCTGCGTGAGTGTTGTGTGATGTGCTGTTGGTAGACAGACCGTGGGGAAGCACAGGGCTGTGGACGGGAGTAACTACTGTTTAGTATACTGTTTTAACCGCGTGCTTTACGTGCACTGGCCACGACGAGCTTGCCGATAGTGGGTTTTACTGGCATTCTAACGCTACGTTTTCTGACCCTCTCATCGGGCGAAGAGGTGAGCAGCGTTTTCCTAAATAGGGCCGTTTAGGCATCCCAGACGGCTGAGGATCTCCAATGTTGGTCGCATTGGAAAAACCGGTCTAAATTAGCCTCGGCCACTTACCGGATTGCATGTTGCCCGCCTCGTCGGATTTTCCATTTTAGGAGTTCGAAGGGAAGATGGGGATTAATTCAGCAACTGGGGGATGTGAGAAGACGCGCACGCACAACAGTTGGACCGTCGTTGCCGACGATATCCACCGTGTGCTCAACAGCAAGGTGAGAGCAGGGACGGTGACTTGCGCGTGAGTTAGATTACAGCGATAGTAGACTTGCACGGCATCCACCACACCCCATATTTCTCCTCCACCTGGGCCCGGTGTCAAGACATAGTCAAGAAGACCGGAGACGGGGGAGGGCGCAGGTGGATGGTACGACCAAGCTCGCACCCTGCCGCTCCACTCTACACCCCCTGGTACATACAGCAGATGACCAGGATTTTAACTAACAACAGCACGGGGGAGGAGGAGGCGGCAGGTGTCCCAATGTGTACGGCCTCTACAGGCAACTGTACCTATCACCGCATCCCGCATGTTGGCGTTTGTTATGGGCGCACATTCCCGATAACGCCTGCCAGAATCCCATGTTGGCCCTGTGTTGGTCCAGTGCATCTACCACGTTACCCGCTTGGGGGCACACGCACGCACGCACGCACGCACCAGTTCGCTCGTCGTGATCGACTGTGTCCACCGTTTGCCCCACAGCAGGGTGACAGCAGGCAAGGTGACTTGCGCGTACTTTAATTCATATTGATAGTAGACTTTCGATTCATCTACCTCACTCTCCCCCCTCCGCCCACGTGGGCCGGTGTCAAGGCATAGTCAAGAGGACCGGAACCGGGAGAGGTCGCTGATGGCTGACGTGGTCGGACCCGCACCTGGACTTACCACCACGCCCCCTGGTCCACAACAAACACTTGACTAGGATTTAAATCAACAATAAGAGGAGGGGACGACTGAGATCCCAGTTGGCGCGACGTGGACCGGCAACTGTGCCTGTCACCGCACCCCTAATGTTGGTGTTTGTTATGGGTGCGCATTCGCGATAACGCCTACCAGGGCCCGATGTGGCCAGCGTGTTGGCCCAGCGCATCTACCGCGTAGTCCGCTTTTGGGGCACACACACGCCGACCTGCCGATCAAGGACAGTTGCCGCGGTTCAGCCATTATACTGAGCGGGGCCCTAGCGGAGCCACAGATGAGAGCTGGGTGCCGGGTGGGGGGCGAAGTAGAAGTATCCGTCAGGTTTATTGACGCGTTTGGTGGCAACTGCCAGTGCATTGATTGCAAGTACTTGTCACGACCGTGATTGTCCAGCCGGCCCAGATGATGTTGAGTATGTCGCCTCTCTACGCGTGACTTCCACCGCAAGTGTATCTGCGGGGGCCTACGCTCGTCAGTGTATTGTCGTACAGCCTCTAGCCAATCGCATCAACGAACCGGCAGTGACCGTACAGCTGCGATGTGTTCCCGCCCATGTCGCCTCTTTCGCCGGGCAGGTAGTTGGTTAACGGCACTACCACGCACGAAGTCTTTCCGGTTTCACTGATAACTCGAATATCTGATTCGCGTCACGCGATTGGGCGTATTCTAAGAGGCAATTGAGATGACGGGAACAGACATTTTTAGCTCCACGTTCACGCCAACCCATTATCGGATAAAGCAGCTGATAAAGATAGAGAAAGTATCGGGCTGCCGTGTCTACAGTTGCTACGTAATCACATACTTACAGTAGATGTGCTAACTCGTAAAATTTTAGCCGAAATTCTGAAGTGCGTTTTCGACTCTAAAAGATTACTTACGTATTATTGTAATGCAAATCATCGTGTGGCATAATCCCAAGATAATTCGGTCACTTCAGGATGTCAGCCTTCGAAGGAACTTAGTTTTGGCTACCTGCAAAAACACCACTGTAAAGAATGGCTGCTTTAGGAGCATGGATTCTTCGCGCCGATTTTTGATGCGCCCATAAATTCAAATATATTTCATAGGAAACCTGCATGAAAATATTCATTCTGTTGCTCATTTGTAAGATAACTACGGTCTCTTCAAGTTTTATGCTCAAAGAAAAGATATGGTTCGCTTAAAAAAAACCTCTTCGATCCTGGAAGAATTTTGAACCCGACATGCCGTTACACTTGAATTCAGGGTTTCCAAACAACAAACTGTATATTTTTCCTGTATAGAACGTCATATTTTTCCCCTAGCTGTTAAGAGGAAACCATATAATGTTCTTAAAATTTAACAGGAATTTGAGCCTTATTGTAGACTTTACAAGCAACAGTGGTAAATGCTGAGACGCAGTCTTATATGAGCGGGCATTTCACGATCTTAAAAAAATTTCATAGTTGAAAACTTTTTCAAAACCAAATCATACCTTTTCTTTAAGTATTAGATCTAAATAAGGCGTACTTTTCTTTCCGAATGAGTTGAAGAATGAATATTTTTATGTATCTTTTCCACAAGGTACATCTGAATACACATGGGCATCGAAAATCAACGAGAAAAATTATAGTACTTCGGTAGCCATCTTTACAAAACGTAGTTTTTGCAGGCTGCCGAAAAGAAGTTCGTTCAAAAGCTGATATCCTGAAGTAATCGAATTATCTTGGGATTATGCCGCACCATTATTAATCTTACAATCATATGCAACTAATTTTTTCGAGTCGAAAATGCATTTCGGAATTTCGGCTAACATTTCATGAGTTTGCACATATACTGTACTAAAATTAGCAGTCCCGCATTCATCTCAAACTTGCTCAACGAGTCGATTTCGTGGGCTTTTTGCTTTAGCTACTGTATGGTCCTGCGCGATACAGAAAACAGCAGCCCTCCAGAGGCAGTTAAGGCTTCCCCTAGAGCATTACCCACATTGAGATATTAATAGTTTTAGTGCACACTTTGCTGCACGGGGTATTCATTTCATCTTGATCAGACCTGCTGCCTAGTTATCATGTGTTGTTTCAAGAAACTGTATTTAATGCTATGACCGCATCTTCGAGTGACGGGCGAGATCTACTGAGTGTTCAACGTCAGCGAGGATTTCGTGTGTGAAGCACCTTTCCGTTATGGGACAGGGATCAACTGAGTTTCGATGCTCGCACGTTTTACCCTGAACACCAAGATAACCGGACTCCACAGCTGCCTGACTTGTCTTATGTGCTAGGGCCGGTCAACTGATTTTTTAGCTAGCATTTTGGTAGTCCTGCGCAGATCAACTTAGTTTATTTCGAGAGAAAGTTACAACTTTTGATGCGAACAAGTTTTTTAAATGAAAAAGGGTTACATGTGATAGAAAATAATATAAGCGATAAAGAAGTGACCAGCCTACGATTGTAAGGCCAATGGCATTTTTTGTGTTATTACTTTCATTTAAAGGTTTCAGCACAATGTTCGTTCAGGTTGATTCTGGAACTCCCAAGTTCCATTTCATCTAAAGCGGTCCGTGCATGCCCGACTTCCATCCAAGTCATTTGCCTGCCAGTCAACCCTGCTTCGTCCCATGGGTCGTCTGTACGGTTTGTCAATCACACTATTTGTCCATTATTAGCAGCTGTTGATTTGGAAGGGTCCGTATATATGACTAAGCAGTCCACATGCCCCACGGGAACGTCCATTTCAACTTTTGGGTGGAACACAAGTCGCCCAGATCGTCACACTGTCGTCTCAGCACAGTTATCTGCTTTGCGTAGCATGCTGTTTGCGCAAGCCATGACACTACTGGTCTCATCTATCCGGATCATCAAAATTGGGTTTCTTTTCGCCCTACAAGACCGCGTTGTGCCGCTTATCTGTTCAGGTGACTCATAGTCCATCGTATTCTTTATCCCTCGGTGCCTTCTCCTCGGCGACAGTAAACTGACATCTACGAACTCCTTATGACCCTGTGAATTATGTCGTTCTAA